AAGACTCTTTATGTTGTCGATTAGGACTACTAAAGTTTTTCCAAGCTTTTCTTGAATGAAGTTTACAGTCCTTGGTTTTAGTCCTAGGTCCATGATCCACCTTGAGTTGGTTTTTGTATATGGAGTGAGGTGAGGATCTTGTTTAATTCTCTTATCTTTACTTGGAATCCTTCAGTATTGAAACTCGAGGATTGAATTTCCTTTTCCATTCTTTTGGGTTGAGAAAAACCAAGCACGTTCTTCCCTTTTGGTTTTCTTATTCCAAGTCTTTGTAGATTTCATTAGGATTCTTTGTTTTCTAGAGTTGCCCTGTGAAATCTTCAGTTCATCCCTCTTACTCCAGCATTTCTTACATTTTGACCTCTCTGTATTTTAATGCAAGTTTCAGAGTCTCTCCTGAGAACCATTTCAGTGTTTTCTTTCTTGTCTTTGTAGTGACCTTTTATTTGCTTCATGAATGATATCCTTGAACAACTGATCTGGCCTTTAGTCATTACTGGTCAGTGTATCAAATCTATTCTTAAAGGTTGTTGTTTTTTTTCTTATAAAAATCAGTTGGGATAGACTCAAGACCGTATTTTGGTTCTCATGGACTTGTATCAATATTGTTGTTAAGTACTGTCGAGTTGTAGGCGACTCATAGTGACTCTATGAACGAAAGTTCTCGACAGTTAAAAAAAAAAAGAAAGTTCTCGATAGTTGTGTATCAATATTATGAGTTTAAAAATAATGATTAATTATTTAGTAGTATTACACTTAACATTATTCAATTAATATTTGTATAAGGAGTAGATGAAACATGAAGGTGGCTGAATCTGATTTCTACCTGCTTCATTAAGGGGTACTGTTCCCATCAGTAATATCCGTATTACTAAACAAATAGCTACAGGATCAAACATGTCACCCACACACTCTTACACCTATTTCTATGAATCATTGAGTCCACTGTTCACTGCAAATTGACTCACAATCTCCACTTACAGTTGTGGGATTTATTATGGAAAAAAGTTAGGGAGTGAGGCAAAGAATATCACAAAATGTAAGTCCAGGTTTAGTTCAGCAGTCCCAAGACAGATTAACAAGGCACAATTCCTCAGTTAGTTCAGATAGCTTCTCAGTTAAGAGGTGAAAGTCTAGGTTTAGTTTAGCAGCAAAAATAAACCTCTAGTTTCCTCAATCAGTTTAGCAAATTTTATCTCAGAGCAGCTTTTATCACAAATCAGCTTTTCCTTCAAACATCCAGTATGCAAAACCATTGACTGCAGTTCCAGCTCTAAGATTCCTCTGGTCACACCTTACCATAGTCTCTTTACAGCAGTGTACAGTCTCTTCACAGCAGTGCCATAGTCTCTTCGTCTCTTCACCCTCTCACCACCTCTTACAGTGTCTTCACAGTTCCCCTACCTCTATTGCTCATAAGGTGGAAAGCATTCTCATATATTGGTCCCACAGCTGTTGATGATTTACAAGACTGTCTGGAGACCACACTCCCCAGTGGGGTCTAACACATGGCTAGAAAAACTAATTTTCAAGAGTTTTAATGTCCCAATTTTTCATATCATATGCACATAAAATCTTGTTGAAAAGTATTAAAGAGATGGCTGGAATAGTATATCAGCAAGGAATTTCCAGAAATTAAAACTGAATTCAGAATAGACCATTGCAGGATATCATTGTTGATGTCAGATAAATCATCACTAAAAACAGTGAATACCATAAAAATGTTTACTTGTATTTTGTTGACTAAGCAAAAGCATTTGACTGAGTGGATCATAACAAATTATTGACAAGAACTGAGAAGAATGAGACTCCCAAAACACTTACTTGTGTTCATATAAGACCTACACATACACCAAG